TTGGCTGCTGTAGCTGGAACACAAGAGCACATCCAGATTTGGAATCTCTGGGCACAAGTCCAGGGAGAAGGAAAAGCWGCACAAAATCCACCCAGCCAGGTACAGCAATTTTCTGAGGAAAAGCTGTGTGAGAGTAGGGGATGCTCAGCCTGGAGAGGAGAAGGATTCAGGGAGAGCTCAGAGCCCCTTCCAGAGCCAAAGGGGCTCCAGGAGAGCTGGAGAGGGACTTTGGACAAGGGATGGAGGGACAGGACACAGGGAATGACTTCAAACTGACAGAGGGCAGGGATTGGTGGGATATTGGGAAGGAATTGTTCCCTGGGAGGGTGGGGAGGCCCTGGAATAGAATTTCCAGAGAAGCCGTGGCTGCCCCTGGATCCCTGGAAGTGTTCAAGGCCCGGCTGGATGGGTCTTGGAGCACCCTGGGACAGTGGAAGCTGTCCCTGCCATAACAGGGGTTGGAACTGGATGTCCTTTAATGTCCCTTCTCACCCAAACCACTCTGAATTCTGTGACACCTTCAGGGCTGTGCCGCCCCTGCTGTAAATAAGTTTCCTTCCACAGTTCCACAGCATTTGCAGTAAACAAATCCCATACAARCCCATCTCCCAGGACAGCAAACCTTACTGGGAAACGCTGTCCTTCCCTGTTTGCACACTACTTCGGGAAAYATCTTTGTCGTTAATGGATGAAACCCCCTCTGCCAGCAGCTACCCGGAGCTAACACACATTAATTAACGAGCAAGGAAGGGGCTGAAGTTCCCTGTGCAGCTCATCAGCACTCGCTGAAGTTTATGGCTGAATTCCCACTCCAGTAGCTGGAGGGCCCAGGTCATTAATATTCTTATAATTTTTTTTTTTCTTCCTTTTCTTTCTTTTCAGTTCAGTATTCATCCAGGGGGGAAAATTAAGATAAATGCAGAGGAAATGTTTCTAGAATCACTGAATATCCTGAGCAGGAAGGGACCCACAAAGATCACAKATTTACAAACTCATTTCGTATTGTTGAGTCCAAACATAAAATCAACACTGTTTGTTATTGTAGCCGTTCTTATGTCTCAAGCAGTGCTGCCGGACCCTCTTCGGACTCAGCATCTGAAGGCGTTTTCAGACCCCATTTCAGCCAAGAATTCTCTTGAATTCCCAAGAATTCTCGTGAAAACCACAGAAGTGCCCTTGCAGCGACCTTGGAGCCGCGCGTTACGGGCGCCCTTGGCTGCGGCATCCTGTTGGGATGAATGAGCAKCCACGCACGATTCAATTACTGGGGATTTCACTGCGGATCCCCTCGGGGCAGGAATGGGCTGATCGCGTTTTCCTGGCGAGGAAAGAGGCGCTGGGAACCTCCCACGCGAGGATAAGGAGCGGAATCTGGAGATCAGGAGCCGGGAAAAGCAGCCTGGGATGCGCCGCGCCGGCTTTTCCCAGCGGGAAAAGGAGATTTCCAGCGCAGATCGGTTTCAACCTCCCGTTTGGAGGCTGTTCACACTTGCCGAGGATCCTCCTTCCTCGCCGGGGCGTTTGAGCAGCGGTGAATTCCTGATGCCGTGTGACGGTCCCCGCGGGAATTGTCGGATCGCGTTCCGTCGCCGGCAAAGCCGCGGCGGGGCACGGATGCGATTCGCACGACGGCAGAGCCAGCGATCCCTATTTAAACTCTGCCTCACGCCGTTTTCCTTTCAAATCAGATCTGTTCTTCCCCTCTTTTACTCTTTAACCACGTCCGTTTTGTTCGCTGCCCGGTTGATGGGGAAAGGGGGATGTTTGGGGGATCGGTGATTTAAAACGTGTGCGGAAAGGGAGTTCAGCGACGCTGACAGCCCAAATAAATTTCCCTAATCCACAAGCCCTGGGACCCGAATCCTTTTTTTCAGATTCCTTTCCACATGGGCTGAGCTGCTCTGCTTTCTGGGTGCTCCTAACGTGCCTGTTTCTCTGAACTTCAGCTGCTTAACATGAGGATTTCATCACAAAATGGGCCAAATCATCCCCTCCGTGTGGCAATCTCACTCCCATAATTATAGCAGTAGCCCGGATGAATCGGGAGCCTGTTTTTTACAGGGTTAARATGGAGAAAATAAACTCAGTCCTTGGACACTTGTGAATATCCCTGAATCCACCTTAAGCCTTCAGGAGCACCAGCCCAAGGTTTTCCATCTTCAAGCGGGAGAAGGTGTGGGAGGAGCGAGTTTTTGAGTGCTGGGACAATTATCTCAGCTCTGTGATGCYTCCAGTAATGCTAATTTAATGAATGCTCAGGTTAACGACTCTGAGGATCGAAAAATTATTAAATGCTGCTTTTTCAGGCTCCTGGTGGTGAAACACTCCTGGTCAGCAACATTCACCAGATACCTGCTCCTGCTTTTCCATCTAAGCACCGAGTTTCTGGGTTGAAAAAAGATCCCCTAAAAATAGCAGCTTTGCTTCTGTTTCATGTTTCCTGTCATCTCAAAGACGAGTGAAAAGCCAGCTCAACAAATCAGATCTGGCGCTGAATTCCTGCCTTAAACATGTTAATCCTCCCATTAGGAGAGGTGAAAGCAATGATACATTCACTGATAAATAGCTCTGGGTTGTATGAAATCTGTCACTGCCTAAGAAGGTGCTTTGTTCACTGAAGCTGACCAAAAGTGTCATCTTTTCCACTGCGGCCAAAACCNTTTTTTTTTTTTTTTTTTTTTTTTTTTTTTTTTTTTGAGCACCAGGAGCCTTTCTGCCGCCTTTAGTGGGCTTTGGATCAAAAGTGTAATCTCTCCTTTACATTTGTATTCCTGTCTGCAGCACAGCCATTGATCAGAACAAACATTTTCAGCCACGTGAATCTTCCGAGGTGGGAGAAGCTCTGGGGGTGGGAGAACAACTCCTCTGATCCTCTTTAGGATGCACAATCCCTGCGAACCGAGTTGTTGCTGGTTTCATTTTCATGTCGGTCAGCTCTGCACTAATTGGAGGGAACCAGCATGGGAATAACAACACTGGGAATGACAATGGTGCCCATCAGAGCTGCCACGGATGGTTTGGGCAAACATAATTTGTCCAGTTGTTTCCAACTGTCTCTGAAGTGGGAGGAAGGCGGTTGTGGGCACTCTGATGTGCAGGTGTCAAAAATACACCAGATAACACAGGCTCCTCTCACTCAAACCCTTCCAGCACCTTCAGCTCCTCTGTCTCTCCATCCCCTGGCTGGAAAATGGGAGAAGTCAGCCCAAATCCACCCCTTGTGATGTCAGCAGGGTCCATTAGGGACAGCTCAGATGCTTCTGGCCAAGCCCCTGCAGCCCAGACTCCTGTCTCTGACTGTCATTTGCTCAGGGGAGGAGAAGCAAGAGCAGGACGAAGATTTGCAGAGTTGTATTTACATCCCTGTGGTTAATGGCCTCGGAGAGATCTTCATCCAGGAAATTGCCTAATTGCTTTTTGAATCCATTTATCCCTTAGGATAAATACCCACAACATCCTGGTCAGCGACTCCCACGGTTTAATTATCTGATGGATGAAAAAAACACTTCCTTCTCTTTGTTTGAGACCTGACAAGGCCACCTGACATCCCTCCTTCGTGTGTTCGGAGCAGCAGTGACACGAGGACAGCCCTCGACTCCTCTCCTGCTGCCCATGAGGTCAGAAATGCATCACATTCCCATCAGACATCTCCCTTACCCTCCTCACAGCCTTGCTTTGCTATTATTCCCTGCACTGCCAGCAGCTCTTCCCACATCCCAGTTCATCCTTTCTGCTCCATTTTCCTCCTTTTCTAAAATCACTGCTCCTTTCTCAGACAGAGTGGATGGGAATCACACACAGGGAGGCTCCCAGGGGTAGTGCCCCAGCACAACGTGTTTGCTTTGCCACTTTTTCCCATCCTAACAATTCCTGATGCTCTCCTTGCCCTTTTGACCTCCCCAGAGCCTCGAGA